TATACTATATAACCAAATAAGGTTTACATATGTTTATATCATATTTGATGCAAATAGGAGGGGGAAAATATCAACATTTTATTCAGAAGTCCAAACCGAGCAAAAATATGCAATTTAGTACAGTTGCTGATATTTATATGGCTAAGATTCTGATGGCTTGTAATGTAAATTAATGAGCTCTTTCTAACAGTATAGCAGACTACATGCATAAAATGCATATAAATATAGTTGTCACTCCTTATCGCCCAATAATATGTTTTAGTTAGACGTTTAATTGAATTGCTTAGTTTTATGATTGAAGCGGTGTAGTTTTGCTCCTCACAATTAAAACATATAATGTGATGCAATACAACGATGATTGAGAAATAAATGTTCCTCAACCTGTTGTATCACATTTGATACTCACATTTAAACACGATGTATGAATATTCAAGTAAACGTAAGTTGGTTCAGTCCAGTGTTCATCTTGAAATATTACAAACAATATAAATGTTTACTTTGCAAAGATCGTTAGATTTGACAGCAAAAAAGACGCATGAACTACGGCCTGAAGGTTTTTTAATCATGTTCATAATTTAGAGGCGTATCAGATATGATTTAGTAGGCTTTTATAAGGTTAAATACAGTTATCCACGACTAATAGAGGTTGCTGTGCTGTCCGTGACGTGACTGGCATATATGCATTTCAGTGTTTGACATCTAGGATGTAATGTATACTGCTTCTTCTTCCACCTTCAACAGATGTAAAGAAGTCCGCTATGGGGCTTTTACTGTGGGTGGCCGTGCTGACGACGTGGATCACCATTTTCCAGCATTTCAGAGCACGGTGGGGTGAGGTGGGAGATTACCTCTCCTTCACCATTCCTCTCGGCACAGCCTGATCCGATGGCGCTGCTTTAAAATACCTCTTCTTTTTTTTTATTCTCCTCCCATCGACATGATGCTCCTTCGCTAATTTGACCACTGTTGTCTCTGTTGTCCATTAATAAAAATTGTGTTTTGCACCATTTCAAATAAAATCTGAAAATTTCCTGCAGTGTCACTGTCTTTATCATGTGAAATAGAGAAATATATGAAAATGAGCTATTTAAATAATTTAGAAATACATTTTTTTTAAGCCTTTAAGTTAAGAGGCAGAGTTTTACCTTTTTTCTTTTTTGTCCAGTGGTGGAAGATTTTGGGCATTAACAAGCAAAAAAATAAGTAAACATTTACTTATGTGCATGCAGCATAGGATTCTCACTGTTAGAAACAATTTGTCAAAAAACAATGTTCTACCTTGTTTATGTCCTGGTGTGTGATTTGATAACGACTTAAAATCATGATTTTAAATTTTAAACTACATGGAATATTTGTACTTTAAAAATGTCACATGGTAAGAAATCAGTGATGAAAACCTTAACGAGAGCAAAAATGCACACATTTCTTTATACAAACGGATATATTTTAACCTCAAAAAGTGCAACGTTGAAAATAAAATCTATCTCCATTAATCAGCCACTCATTTTCCATTTTTAGAGCTTGTGAGTGGAAAATGAAAGCATCAAATGGCCAAGAGGGTTCCAGCGAAATCCACACGATGAACGAATTCCCTTGTTCTCTTGCTTACTAATCAACACAGCTTGCAATCATTTTAAAGCCTCTGCATACCAGACTCTGTAATATCGACGCATGAAGCCTCTGTCTCATTTGTAACCCCTTACAGGCGCCTATTATGAAATTCGATCCGACTTTTGAGCGAACGCTAAGCCCCTCGTGGATCTTCTCGGGTGCTGTTTTTAGTCGCCCATAGCCAGTGCACGGACAGAAAGTTCTGCTTCTGCTACCAGCGGATGGCAACAGCAGAAGGACATGTTATCCTCAGCCCCAATGACTTGCACTCCTGCCAGTACACTGGTCATCATGGTTTAAATCAAAGGGCCAGAAAGTACCTTTCATAGGCCACGTGTGGTCATTACAGTTGATGAAGATCCATGTGAAGAAGATGTCCTTCGAAATGAGCTGTGAATTATTCTGTTGTTGGAGGTCAGCAGTAGGACAATGTGTTTAGTGTGACATAATAATGTTAATATGGATCCATTGGACTGGACAGATTGAAAACTTTTCAACAGACATGTCGAAATGTGTCGATTTCGCTGCCTTTTTACTAAAAGACGTCTCCCGTAATGTATCAGGCCCAAATAGCTTTCCATCATTAGCTCAGGACTTTTTTTAAATAGATGTGTTTACGTTTTAGGATTTGTATTATGTAATGGCATTCAACGTGTTACTTGATAAACAGACTAATAGCAATATGGCATCATGCGTTTCTTAGGAATGCCTCCTAACCACATTTCATTAACACTAAGATAGAAAATGCCAACGACTGGCAGGATGGCATGAGGGTGTGTCCATTCAATATTGCAGAATAACTACAATTTCAGATTCTGGAATTACTTAATCAAGTTAAATTACTTCAATACTGCTTGAATAAAAGTAACATTATTTACATTATAATTTCAGGTTTCATTTAATTGCAGATTAGCTTGTGAGTATCTCCATGCCTTGTATAGGTATGGAGAAAATGACTAACAGGGTGAGGTCAGCAAACTTGGGACACTTTTTGGTAAACTGTGTATTTAATACAAATAAATTATACCTGATTAATGTTTTAAACATGCTTAAGGTCTCTAGTACCTTCAACTATGGTTTTTAAAGGAATATTTTTTTATTTTTTTTTGTATACAGAGATTAAAAAATGACAAGAACCCATTTTTATACAGCCGTTTTCAGGTAAAGTGGGACACACATTTTCATCTAGTTTGTGCTTGGATAATATTGCTTACAACAGGATATTGTACAAATCCTTTTTTTTATATAAATTTTTCAAAATGGAAAAGATTAACTTTATTAAAACACACACTAGCGGATTGTGTTCTTGTTGTTGATGATGATGATGATGATGAAGATGATGTTTCATGCACAGCTCTAGGTTCCTTTTTAAAAATACTTTGGAACCAGCAATAACCTGCTTTGTATTTGTTTTCAGAAAACCATTTAATTCCATTAGTTTTTGCATATTCAAAAGCTATTTTTTTGCACATCTCTGCAAAAGAAGCTTTAATATGTTTTCTTCTCAGACGACTCTGACAGAAATGTTTTTTTTTTTTTTTTTTGCCAGAGGCATGACTACATTGCACTCACAACACCTTTCACTCTTTTTTCAGGGGTGGATTTTGGAACACAACATGCCCTGGCCAAAAAACTAAGTCTAGGTTCCTGGCCTGTCTCCCCTCTCACCCTGTGCCTACTCAATATTTGCCCCTTTCATTCTTTCTTCACTTCACTTCACTTCACTTCACTGACATAGCTCTCTTATGCTTGGCTGACGTCTTCCCATTTTTCCCTTTCTGCCTATAGCTTTGTGACATTTTCTGTAAAACAAAACAACTTTTCACATTAAGCAATGTATTATCTTTTATTTTACATGATGTCCCACTTTAGCTGAATATACTGTTCCACTTTATCTATCACGTTAAGGTAAATTGGGTCACTAACAAAACGTGATTTTTTTTTTTAAATAGAACAAATAAACTTGCACATCATTGCATAAAATGTAATTATCACATGAACAGATGTAATAAAATGTATATTGTATATTGAAATGCTGTTTGTATTAGAATTTAAACCTAATCAGACTTAAAATGCACTTATGTGCTTTCACTAGCCTACACCAAAAAGCTTATTTGTCCCACTTTAGCTGATGTCCCACTTTTGCTGACTTCACCCCATAACTAACCATGGTTTTACAGATTTACCATGGATAAATATAAACCACACAGTAAAACGAATGGTAATCAATGTGCCAAAAAACCATGGGTATAGGCTACCCCAGACAGCAACACGCGTGGAATCCACATGTACCAGATGTGGCCCGGATCTGGGCCGACACTATGTTGCTGTCTGGTACACTTTTACTACAATAGCCTAATAAAATTTCGTAAGGTAGGCCTACACCAAGGCAAGGAGACAAACAACAACAAAAACAAGAGAATGTTAAACTGTTTTCACAATAGCCTGTGTCAGTTAGGCTCTATAGCCTAAGTTTTGAGTCAAAAGTCTAATTAGACAAATGTGTGTTATCTACAGCAAGTGTTTTGTTGTTTAATTTTTGACATTTTAAAATAATTTCTGTCAGGATTTTTTGTCTCCGTAAGACCGAATTGTACAATTGGCGCCCCAACGCAAATATTAATATAAAAAAAGATTTTTTTTGCAATGTAGACTACTTGCGAAATATAAAAGTGCAATAAATTGCAAAATAATGAATAGCTGATGACCGCCACCGCTGATTTTTTTTTTTTTTTGGTTAGGCCTACTGAAAGTGCTTGAAAATGTTACTGGAAATGTAAATACTCGCTCTCGTATGAGTCGTGTAGAAAAAGAATGCATACTTTTAAGACCCCTCTTTTTACTTTTTGACCCTCACGTGCTGTCATATGTGGCCCAGCGCGGATTACTCTTTCCTATTTATTTATAGCAGGCCACACACATAACGACCTTTTGACATTGAATAGTCGCACATTGAGTTTTTGAATGTCTCTTTGCTCAAAATAAAACAGGCAAGGTGATGACAGAAGGCAACCATTTGAATGAAGACCATCGTGTTCCACATCGAATCATTACATAATATGGATATCATGGGAATAAGGGGAAGGGTTAAATCCCACTCCTGTCATTGGCATTCCATTACAATGCAGCTTTAAAACACATTTGGTGCTCCACGATTAAGTATCTCAGATCTCGACAGCACCATCAATCCACTTATTTATGGCATTTGTTTATAGAGGAAGAGCTCACGAGAAGGGGCGGCGTTTAAGCCTTTATAAACCTCATAAGTGAGTTCAAACTTGAAGAGCAAGTGCTTTCCTGCTTTCTTCTCCCAGAGTTGCGCGACCACATAGACTCCCATTATAATAACCAAGCATTCCGAATTTCCTGAAACAATATAAGTCTATTTGGGGGTTGTTATTTTTCCACATTCATCCCAAAAGAATGGACTTCGACTTGCCTCCTTCTCTCCCCGTGACCGGCATCCCATGGGACAGGGTTCTCCCGCCGTTATTCCCCCGGTTGAACGGGACGATTGGACCTTACTCGTGGACCCCGACTGAACTATTAATCCCGGTTTCCGAACACACCGGAGCAGCACAGGTAGAGTAATCCTGTCTCTTATAAAAATTCACGACGGTAACTATTTCCACAATAAAGTAAAATCTATGGTGACTTGTTATAGTAGCCTACAACTGTCAAGAAACACACAATAAATATTGTATTAAATACATTTATAAAAGTGAATACATTAAAGTGTTTTACAGTGACAGTATACACATTCATAAGAAATTACAAAACTAAAAACGCTTGTTTGCGATGACAAATATACTTGACAAATTGCTCTCTCTAGGCTAAATTGTAAATAAACTTTTGTCGATATAACAAAATATTATAGAAATAATTAGTAACCGAAGGACAAGTGGTAATAAAAAAACAAAGCTACAGTCTATAAAAAAATAAGTTACTATACGTTACAAGAAATGCCAAAATTTGGATGAATTTTTTCTCTCTCTCTCTCTCTCTCTCTGCAGTAGAGTTAAAAATGTCCTAGCAATTGATTAAATTCACTTTCTTTCCAGGTTACCTGTGATCAGAACGGGTTTACTGTGGAAGTTGATGTGAAACACTTCAGTCCCGAGGAGCTGCTGGTTAAAGTGGTTGGAGATTATGTTGTGGTTGAGGGAAAACATGAACAAAAAAAGGTAAGATACCCAGCGTCTCTTTGTAACGCTGATGTATTAAAGGGATAGTTCACTTTGAAATTAATTTTTGGTATGTTTTAGCTTACCTCAAGGGCATCCAAGATGTAGGTGTCTTTGTTTCCGCAGTAGTTTCAATTTTGATATTTTTAGGTCAAACCGTTCATGTCTGTCAGTCATATAATGCAGGTCTATGGTCACCACCTCAAAGAGCATGCACAGAGAAGTCCAAATTAAACATGATTTAATGACTCGTAAATGTAAGTACACATTGATGGCCTAAGACACGAAACGAGCGGTTTGTGTGAGAAAACAAACAGTATTTATATCGTTTTTACCTCTTGTAAACACAGACCGAAGCGCCCGAGCCCTCAGATCACTTGGACGTGGCTGTGTTTACAAGAGGTAAAAACGATATAAATACTGTTTGTTTTCTCACACAAACCGCTTGTTTCGTGTCTCAGGCCATCAATGTTTAATTTGGACTTCTCTGTGCATGCTCTTTGAGGTGGTGACCATTGACATGCATTATATGACTGACAGACAAGAACGGTTTGACCTAAAAATATCAAAATTGAAACTACTGCGGAAACAAAGACACCTACATCTTGGATGCCCTTGAGGTAAGCTAAAACATACCAACAATTAATTTCAAAGTGAACTATCCCTTTAACATGCTTTAGGATTAGCAGATGTTACCCCTGCAATAAAACACTCTGTACTGGACATTTGAGACATGACTTTTAAGAGCATGATATATGTGTTCGTTCAATCCTAGGATGGTTCAGGAATGGTGACACGTCAGTTTAACCGGCGATACCGGATCCCAAATGGAGTGGACATCATGGCACTGGAATCGGCCGTGTCACCGGAAGGAATGCTAGTAATCTCAGCACCTCTGACACAAGGAGACAATTCCAGACTGTTAAATCACACCGGACCATGATGTGCACACACACACACACACATTTGGATTCTTTGCTCTCTTAACATGTTAATGCAAGGCACTTAAAGCGCTCATCTTTTCGGTTTCTCACATAATGCAATGGTAAAAAGACCAAAACAGACTTGCTTCCTCTCACTCCCCCTTGTGGCAGTGGACTCCTCAAATCAACAGCTAATTCCAAACATACTTGATTCCAAGCCAACAAGAAGATTGTATCACATTTTAATCACACTTGCTGTCGGTTTAGCACACAGCCTGCAATAGTCCGCATGTTAACCGGATCCCCTGATCCAAAGCTCATACACAGTCAAACATACAAACCCAAATTATTTTGTTTCGCATAATGTCACACTTGCTCACTGTGGGGATTGTACATATTTTTTAAATTTAAATAATTATTTTATGTTGTTCATCTAATATTTGTGTGATGTACAGTTTGAATATTATATAGTGTAACACTTGTTTATTTGCAAAGGTCTTTAATTAGAAATACATTCATACATGTTTGAATCCACAACATAAAACAGCATAAATAAATAGTAGCAAAAATAAACATGATAATGTGTTCGACACATATTGCATCTTTGATATATTAAACATGTGCCTCAGAGCTGCTGGATCATCATGTCAACCTCACTGGAAAATAAAACAAAAATCAAGTCACTAAAGTTCCAGTAATTCAGTAATGCAGATGTGTGTAAATGTATGTCCAAACAGTGTTGAGGAAAGTTACTCTTAAAAGTAATGCGTTACAATATTGAGCTACTCCCTAAAAAAGTAACTAATTGTGTTACTAAGTTACTTGTTATGCAAAGTAATGCATTACGTTACTTTTGCGTTACTTTTCCTCACCTGGGCTGGGATTGCTTGTTAAAAAAAAGAAAGAAAAAAAAAGACTATTTTGGCAAATGTAAAGTTTCTTGAAATGAATAAGCTTGAGGCTGAAGGAAATGCAAATTCACGTCTGTACAGTAGAGGGCACAGCTCAAACAACTTTTCAGCTGTGCTGCCATTCTGCATTGCAGAAGAATAGGACACAGGTGGAGAAAAGTCCAACACTCTTTTAGCAATAAAAACAAAATAATCAATGAAAGACAAATGTGATGTTTATCTACAGTAATTTTGCTTATTGGATCATCGAAGGTCAGCAGCAAATACATTGGTTAATAAAGTGACATTAAACAAAGTATATATTTGTGTAATTTAACATATTATTGCAGGTTCTGAGTTTGCATTTCACTGTTTTTACTGATTTGGAGGAGTACTGAATGTGTTTTGTGCGAGTAAATGCTCACATTTAGTCTAGATTTACAATAATCATGTTCACACACAGCACACACAACGCCACTGCACTCACTCATGATTTCTCTCAACATGAGGAGGACAGAGCTGTCAGTCAATATGAGAAAACCAAGCAACTTGCGTTACTTGTTTGAAAAAGTAACTCAGATATTCTGTTGTAAATTTAAAAGTAGTGTTACTTTACTAGTTACTTGAAAAAAGTAATCTGATTAGGTAACTCGCGTTACTTGTAACGTATTACCTCCAACACTGTGTCTAACAGATAAAGCGTAGATATTCTCACCAAATTTTTTCCTTCACCCATTTCCTTTGCTCTCTGAGGACTTGCAACAAAGGATCGTCTTCAAACTCCTGCCCATCTGAGTCTGTTATTTAAGATATGTGATATCAGGAGAAGGGAAGAGTGAAAAAATGTGTTTCTATATTTATGTACACTACCATTTATAAGTTTCTGGTCAGTAAGTTTTTTTTTAAAGAAAATTAAATTGATAAAAAATGACAGAAAAGACTGTTACAAATAAAAATGCTGTTCTTTAAACTTTTTATCCATCAAAGAATCCTGAAAAAAACATCACGGTTCCATATATATAATAAGTATTAAGTAGAAAAAACGGTTTTCGACAGTGATAATAGAAAGAAATGTTTCCTGAGCATCAAATTAATTAAATTATAAAATATACTATAATAGAAAACATATATTTTAAATTGTAATAATATCTTACAATATTACTGTTTTATTGTATGTTTGAATAAATGCAGTCTTGGTGAGCATAAGAGACATCTTTCCAAAAAAAAAAAAAAAAAACTTCCCAACCTCTAACGTTTGACCTGTAGTGTATATACAAATCAGTTGTCTTATAGTAAAATAAATAGGGGGGAAATAAATAATATTAACATTTAAAATAAAACATTAAACAATTTGAAAAAAAAACAAAAAAACATTTGAATTGTACAATATTTTGTCATTTTCTGACATGTACTAGCATTAGTATAAGTTCAATCTACATTGAATTCTGTTGTTCTAAGCACACCTTAACTGGTCAATCGTGCTATTTATAACAGGTTCAGGCTAAAACACTCAACTCTAGTCTAACGTGACCAGTTAAATACATGTTGTCATACAGTTTTACAGCTGTCCTACCTTCTGCATCCTGCATGAGTTGATCTATGACCTCCAAGGGTTGCTGCACACCAGAACAAGAGGCAACAGGGGATTGTGGGGGTGGAGCTGGGGTATATGTTGGGGAATCTGAAGAACTCTCAGTTTCGCACAGGGTTGGGGAATCTGTCTCTGCAAAAAGCACCTCAGAGATAACCTGTCAATGTCAAGAACAGAGTTTTACTAAAGATTTGCTAGTCTGTTTCACAAGAAAATAAGAGATCACGTACAGTTACTACCGTTAACCGTATAATAAACAGGATGAGATACAGCTAGTTGGATGAAAATATTGATTTCTCAATTTTAATCGATTCTCATTTAGATGAACTGATATGTATTCTTAAATCCCAAGAATCAATCTTTTAGTCTTCTGCTGTTTTCAGTTGATGCGTGGCCAAACGTTCACTAAACACTATTTGTAGCGCGCTCCCATCCAATAATCACAATAAGCTTTGTGCTTTGATACTTTTGATATGAAACAGTCTCAGCTTTCGAATTCTGTCAATTTTATTACAAAATTCAAACAATAAATTCTCTTTAATGTGGCGTGACAAATCACGGCACGTGAACTGACAGTCTGTTCTGATTTACTTATAGTTCCAGCACAAAATAAACATGAATGAACATCATGTCGCAGAAAGCAGCGGAAACAGCTCGTAAACAACATTTACCTCAGGAAAGATAGAATAAAACTCTTGAGAGGAGCATTTTGTTAAATATAGACACTATTACACATACATCATATTTTTACTTGATCTGTTCTTCAATATTTAAATCATGTTTGAATAAATCTGTCATGAAAACAAGTTTTAATGCCACACAGTAAATATATTTCTAAAAACGAAGAAAAAAAATCATAAAAAAGTTATTGTATAAAAACTGCATTATGTGTAATTTGTTTTCCTTGACTAAAACTGCCATGTACTGCAACTGATAAACATCTAAATTAATCAATATGGAAATTATTTGAATGGAGATTGTGGATCAAAACGAGACTTGAATTTAATCTTCTTCCCTATTTACTCATTTACAAACTAAAAGATCATGTGTCATCAACACCTTAAAAAAAATTAATGATATGTCATAAAACAAACAAACAAACCAGTCCTAGAGCATTGTGTATAGGTGAGGGTGGTGGTGCTTGATTTCCAGACAGTCTTCCTCGTGTCGACCTTTGACCCTCTTCCTGCCACCTGTTTTTCACACTCGAGTCTTCCGGCTTGCTATTGACCCCTTCATGACCCCTAGAATTTCTAGCCCTCATTGGAATGCTGCCTTGCTCGCCACCATGTCTACAAATGTAAGAAAATACTTAGCAAATGTTTAATATTAAACATTAATAGTACAATTACATGTTATTAAACACTTGCCATGTTATGCCTGGTTTGGTCACAGTCTGTTTAGGACAATTATGTAAAACATCTAAAGTACCGTTCAGATTTTTTCTTTTGGTTTGAAGGTTTCTTCTCACGTCTCTCATTTTCAGTCTGTCTTTTGACTGCTGGCCACCGGTCCTCTGTGCTGTCAGAAGTCTGTGGAGATGGAGAAGAGGACCTCTTCGATCTGCCGTGCTTTTCTGTGGTTTCTGGGATGCTGACTTGTGTTCTGATTTGCTTGTGATGCTGTGGTTGGGCAGAAGGGGTTTCAAGATTCTTTTTGACAGTCTTCCTGGAGCGCTGGGGAAGGGGTTTGGGTTGGATATTGGGGTCTGGTTGCTCCCGGGTGACATCAGGCTGAAGTCTGGAGATGCTGGGGCTTGAAATGGGGAGAGCAGACTCAGGGACTGGAGGTTCGAGGCTAGCGAAGGTGACTGGAGTGAATGAGAGATTTGCTCTCTGATGAGGCGTGCTGTCTAAAGTGCTATGTTGTACCGTCTGAAAGTAAACAGAAGAAAAATATATTCATAAAAAATTCTTGCAGAAAGTAAATGTGAAAATCTAACACTGGAGTGTCACAGGTTCTATTTGGGTCCCATTTAGGAGGAAAAACAATGTTAAATGCAATTTATACAATGCAACAAACCATATATAATCATGCATTTATGACAGCAAAATAAGTAATCAACCTTTAAAACAATTGCCATGTTATTTAAAAAAAGAAAAGTGAAAAAAATATTTTCAGTACGAATTAATGCATCATATCATACACAAATATTTCCCCCAAAAATATGAATAAATGGCATATTATATTATATTAATGTTTTTAATAATTTGACTTTTTGGTACATAATAAAAAAAAAGACATTGGTTCACCTGGTTTGTTACTATAGTGTGTGATAGAGGTATATGGAGAAGAGAATTGTGGGAAGGGGCCTCCTGGCTCCATCGTCTGGCCTGTTCCATCTTCCTCCTCAGACGCCACTGAAACAGGATGTCATCTTCACGACGGACACCTGACGCCTCAGAACCAACTGCTGGTGGAAAAGACTTTCCCTCACACAAACTGGGCTCTAAAACTACTTTAAGAGACAGAAACAAACAAACAAAAATATCTAATGCAATTTTATTATTCTAATATTATAAATACCTTGCAGGCCAAAAAGGCAATTTTACCCTTTCAGTTAGTTTTTAGTTAACTGAGCATGTTTACAAAACCACTTCTTCTTTGTGGTAAGAGGTGTCGGTGCATTATAATCTGATAAGGATGTGTTTTTGAAATCGGCAACACAAAGATGTTCTGAAAAGGATCAATAGTGTGTGACATGTTACATGACTTATACTAAATGTGTTGATGTTCTTTTAAGTGTTACACCTGTTACTTACTGTTGATTGAGCCCATTAAGGTGGACACGACTGGTCTTCGGACTGGCTCATCAGTGCTCACGGGGGAGGAGAAATCGGAGCAGCCCAAACCCTCAGAGCTGATAGGCACCGAGCCACTGCTGAGAGAATGCTCGCTGAAAACACAAGGATTAAATGTCTAAAAACTAGTCAAAGCTAATGACTCTGAAGTGAAATCAAATCCCAAGGTGGAATATGCAGTCATAATGCAACAACCAATATACTTCATAGCTGTTAAGTTCAAGAAAATTCATCCACATCTGGAAATGTTATTGCCATCACAATACATTACCAACCAAATATAAACATCTTTATTCACATTTATGAGCAAATGGGCAATACTTGGTGTTTTTCAAGAGATCGGTCTTTGTCAGAGTGCTTTTAAGAGAAACACTCGGATTGCAAATACATTACCAACCAAACAAAAACATATTTTTTCCATGAGTGTTGTCAAGTCGCTGGCCCACTAATATACCTGATGATTTAGAGTGAATTACGTAAATGCAATTTACTATTGTGCAAAAAAACTAACTAACAGAAAGCACAAGCTTTTGTGTCTGGTTGTTATGTTGTAATGCTAAATTTAATGGTAGAATTGTGTGTATTAAGACCTGTCGGGACCCGATGTGAGATCCACCAATCGGAGAGGTTCCCGAATCTCGCCAGATTCTTTGATTGGATAAAATTAATGGAGAATATCTCGTGTTTTTCCGTGGGTAATCGGCCATTCACGGAATTGGCACCTTTGACTGATATTATGACAATATATGTCACTTGTCTTTCTACAGAGCTGCTTTATAGATGAATTAAAATTATTTCATAATTCGACGATCTTTACAGTTATTGAACAGAAGTAAATCAACACTGAACTGACCTCAGCTAAACAATGACATTTTTTTCTTTTTAGATCTGCTTTACAGCAGAATTTAATCATTATTTTCCTGTTTACCACACCAAAGCGGCTTTGAAACAATCTCTATTGCATTAAGCGCTATATAAAAAAGTGCCTTGACTTTTGAGCAATGAAATGCATGCTTGCTAAATAAAAATAATACAGCTCACTTGATTGTGAAACTGCTGTCTTGACTTTCACACAGAACATTCAGTCCTGACACTCAGGCAGGAAACATGATGGTGGTCATTAATCGCTTGTGAAATGGCATTTGAGTGAGTGTGTGTTTACAGTTTGTGTGGTGGGGGTTTTACCTTCTCTGCAGTAAACGGTTGGCCCGCTCCTGTAGCTGCAGTATCTCTGGTTCTTCTTGGTCACAGTGCGATGACTCAGATAAAGTCTGGTAGAACAATTGTGGTGGAGATTACAGGAATAAATTACATTTTAAAATATATTAAAATAGAAAATAGTTACAGTCAAAAAGGCTGCATTTATTTGATCCAAAATACAGTAAAACTGTAATATTGTGAAATATTACAATTTGAAATAACTTTCTATTTGAATATTTCACCAGTAAAAACAGTCACTAAGGCACTGCTGACTACTGATATTTAAGGACAGCCTGGGATAGTTTCCATCAGGCATGTTAAATCATTGCTGACAACAAGACCACGAGTGACGGCCTGCAACTCAAAAAAGGGAATGTGTGTCAAGGGTTGCATAACAACTCTCTGTTGTGGGGAATTTATAAATACATTACAATACACACATATTTGATGCTCAATGGACACTGCTTTATATCAGGTGGTTTGATTATCAGAGTGAGTTCTTCTTCCTTTAATGCTGAGGCATTCTAGAGTCGTTTCCATAAATGCAACATGGAAGTTAACAAAGCATTACAATACCGTTCCTGCCAATCTGTGCAAGTTTGTTTTGTACGTATATATATATATTAGTGGTTGGCCGTTATCGGCGTTAACGTCCTGCGTTAATGTGAGACTCTTATCGGGCGATAAAAATAATATCGCCGTTAATCTATTCTCAAAGTTGGGTTGGGAGCTGGGTCTTTACTACGCAAGCTATGATGACTTTCACCTTGATATTTTAGCGCAGATGTACACCTAGCCGAATTGCACTGTAGGGGGCATTTAATACCAATATATTGAAACGTCTGTTTATCCATACTCCCTTAATAAAGGAGACCAGACATTAGAAAAATATCAGTCTATGCGTTTTATATTTAATATGAGGGAAATACACATCCGTAACGGACGTGACACAAAAAAACTTGAACTTTTAGGTGGCAAAAGTACAAAAAGTAATACTACCCTCCGGATGAAGAAGGGTTGGCTCTTCACAGAACATAAAATATTCATTTTGTCTTATTTTTCGTGTACGCATTTATGAGGGAAAAACAATGTTATGTGACAGTTCCCCGTTACGGACGTGACCGCTCTGAAAGCGACACTGAAATACTGCTTTAAAACTTTGAGACATTAAACATAAAGCACAAAGCCTTTCATTAAGGCCAATTTCGTTTTGTATTAATTGTATCTTAATTTTAATCAATGTTTCATCAACCAATTGCCTGGATTTAACAAATAAGAAGTAAATATAGCAGACAATAGATAATTAAGACATGGAGGCGCTGGCGCGTGAACTGGAGCTCGTCTTGTGAGTCATAAATGAACCGAAACACAGCGTATAAGGTAGGCCTACTTGCCTCAGGAGTATAGTGTGTGGCGTGAGGTGCGAATGTATAATGTAGAGAATAGTTACGAAAATGGAGAGAAAATATAAATCGGGCGCATTAAAAAGAAAAGAACGAGATAGTCTTTGTGTTTTATTTAACATAAGCTTACTTTGCTCAACAAGTGACACATGCATTGATCAGATATTTTATGTGTTTTTTTTACGGTTTTAATTTTTAAATGACTTGGTAGCAGAGGGCCCCATGTTGAAGCTCCGCCCCCACTGTACTGAGAGTCTAGCTCCGCCCCTGCCCATCTTATAAACTACCTGCGAGGAAATTTATTTGGGTAGTAGCACACATATTCTGAATGCCTTCGGCAGAATTCAAATTAGCCATTTTAATCTAGATTAATTCCAATTTTTGATTATATTTTGATAAAAAAACAGTAATATTGTTGAAATATCTTTACAATTTAAAATGACTGTTCAAAAGAACAGCATTTATTTAAAATAGAAATCTTTTGTAACATTATAAATGTCTTTACTGTCACTTTTGATCAATTTTATGGATCTTTGCTGAATAAAAGTATTGATTTCTCAAAAAAAAAACAAAAAAAAAACTCACTGACCCCAAGCTTTATACAGTACCGGTACACATATTCCTGCTCTAAATGAAGAACCCTCATGGAGGGAGATTTCCCAGCTACCACCACTAGATGGCAACAATCACCCACCACACAGCGTAACCACATCTGGCAACATGAGGAAATATATCTAGTTTTCTTCTCACATACATCATTAACACAATTCAACCGCAACAGCAACATATATAAGACCTACATCAATATAATCAATATAACAAACTGTAAATTGTTTGGCATTCTCTTTAACGTACGGTCAAAATGACTTCAGCTCTTTCAGGCAAATCAGTTGTTCAAATTTATGCAAAACCTACCAGCATACTGAGGTCAAGCATGTGTCTAGCTGGAGACAGTGTGGTTTCATCATGCAGTGGCTTTGAGATTGGGCTCTGGGAGCTGGTAGGGCCATCGTTCATGAGGTCAAGTGGATCTAAACACAGGATACACACACACAAAGGAAAAGTGTGATATGTGTGATCTGAAATACTTTATATTATCAATCCAAAAAAAAAAAAAAAAACAGATGTATTATTTGAAGTAGTATAGGCCTGTATTAATCAACTAGGTCAGCACACCTCTGCTATGTTTTTCTGATGTTTGCGTTGGTGTTGAAGAGGATAGAGGGGATGTGGGCATCCACCAAAACGGCTGATCATCTCTTCCTTCAGTTGCCTGAAGCTGTCTTTCTTCTCGACTCTGTGGCCTTCCAAAACGGAAGCGTTCAATGTACCTTGAAGTATTTAATTGCAAGAAGGATGTCAGATAACAAACAAGCAACAATATATTCTTAAATGTAAACAAAAGGGTGTATTAAATGTTCCAGACCTTCTCATCTGAGAATTAATGTGTCACCAGAGTCATCACCACATGTGGCAACGTTACTCTAGAACACCAGCTTTTCTTTAATAAGGAAAGCTACTGTTGACATCAATTGCAATTGCATGGTTTACTACATAGAAAATAGGGTGTGAAATTACTGTATTTTTGACAAAGTCCTGTTCCAGATGTAAAAAAGCGATTCATTTATAATAATAAGGTTTAAACAGACCAACCATGACCAAGATTTAGCTACTTGGTCTACGTTTATTTAAAATTAACAGCAAGACAACTAGCAGTGAATGTGTTTTTCATTAAATGTATCACACACAAACAAATTCTTAAAGGGGTCATATAATGCCATTTTTGTACAAGCTAATATGATTCTTTAGGGTCTAAATTAAAAGTTTGTAATATACTTTAATTAAAAATTCTCATTAGTATTGTAAGAAAACACTTATTTTACCTGGTCAAAAACAGCTCTGTTTTCAGCACGCCGTTTCAGTGCATATGACTTTAAATGATAATGAGCTGTGCTCACTCCGCCCCTCTGTTCTGTGCTACACCGTTTGTAACTCAATAACACAATAACCATAACGCGTTGTTCAGTATAAACGTGGTATTATGAATTATATTGAGAACGTCGTACATAGAAAACATGCCGTAATGTACCCTGAGTGTAAACCTTAGACGCATTCATCGTGAAGCGTGCAGCTAGCGATTTGCAAAGATTAATATATTAATATAAAGTTTAATAAAACGTTACACTCACTTCCGTTCTTCTAGAGGTTCAGCAGGAACACGAATACCTGGTACCGATGCTTTTTTCATGAGCAGCTTCTTAGCAAATCCAGCTTTATACTGACCCTCGTTTATAAAGCAGTCTGGTGTGTGAAATGATTCGCGCAAACATGAGAGCATTGACGTTGCTCGTGGGGAATATTCCCTTCGAAAACAAACTCAGCCACTGCGTCTTCAGCGGTTCGGATTTAGGAACATTAAAATGACTGCTGTGTTCGTTATTGCACCCAAGAACAGAACACCACAATCGCTTAGACGCCATTCTGCTCATAGACAGTGCTCCAGCATATCAACAATGACCGCGCGCCGGTCCGGTCCGCACAGACTATGATTGACAGCTCCCTCATGAGCGAGGGCGGGTCTGTGTTGAAACGTTCCTGTCAATCAACAATCGTGGGAGGGGCGTGCGAGCTTGTGACGTCACAGGCTCGAAGGGCTCGATTTGAGGCAGGGGAAAACATATAAGGAGATTAAAACAAAACCACTGGATGGATTTTTATCATTATATGATGGTTGTGTACAGACACTGCCAACACACATTTCAGTACAATCAACTTGTAAAAGTGCATGTATCATTATATGACCCCTTTAACAAAAAAATAAAACAGGCCTATTCTGGTGGGTGCGGTGGTGACGCGTTCATGTAACATGTAAGGGTGGCGCTGCCAATAAAGCACCTAAAAGCTGTCACAAAGAACCAGCAAAAGTAATGATTATGAATATGTAAAATATAGCAAGGAGATATTTTAATTGTTTATTAATAAACAAGTGTTTCGCCCAAAGATGAAGTTGACAATGCTGACTCGCGATCTTCGTAGTAGTGAACGCGCCAGAGAGAAATGCACATTTCATACGGATTGCATAAGAGAGCAGTCTGTAGTCAGTTTTTTTTCCTAATAAATGCGAACACGAAAAATAAAATAAAATGAATATTTTATGTTCTGTGGAGACTACAGTTAGGCTACTCATAATTTGTATTCTGAATACGTAACAACGGTACATATTCCGTTACTCCCCAAAACTGATATTAGTAGCCTATATAACCTTATCTGCAAGATATTTTAATAACACGGTTTTGGCGGTTATAGAGTTCTAATGACGGTGTTCAACTATAACCGTCAGTCTCACAGTTATATAATAACCGTCACACCTCTACTACACATAAGCTACCTAAATAACTAACCATTAAGAAATGTCCTGTTGCAATCTACATGTTGTCACTTCTTCTTGAGTCTCTCCATCATTGTCTGACTCCGGTTTGAACATAAAAGGCTAAAAGTTTTTGAAATTTTCAGTCCATGTCTGTGTGAGGTAAAAGGACACAAGCTGTTGAAGCTCCGCCCTCTGTGCCGGGAGCAGCAGCTCATTTGCATTTAAAGGGACAGACACAAAAATGGTGTGTTTTTGCTCACCCTCAGTGACAAATTGTCAAAAGTGACAATTTTAACATGCTATATAAAAATACCGGTGGGGTATTTTGAGCTAAAACATCACATACACACTCTGGGGACATCAGAGACTTATTTTACATCTTGTGAAAAGGGCATAGTGGAAAAGCGCCACAAAGTGAGCCAAGCCGAGCCATACCGAACCGTACCATGCAGTGAAAAAGCACCATTATATAAACAATCTTGATTAATAGATTTGACAGCACTAGTTTAAAATCAATGGTAATATTGCCAATAGAGATGTCTCTTACTTTGCAAGAACTGAGGGTTCCTTTGCCCCCGTTGTCACTGGTGAAATCATGTTTCTCATGGCTTGCTTCTGAGCTTCAGAGCAAGGAGAAGCGTTAGTGTCGTCTGTGGAGCAACTCGGGTCAGTAGAAGGCCAAGACTCTGAGAAGCTCAGCTGGCGTGCATTAGACGAAGGAGGGCAGAGCAGGACACTACGTGATCTTTCATGGAGAACCTGGTCTTCCGTCCTCAACGGTGATATCTGAGTAGGAGGATCTGGAAGACTGGGTGGCTCAGCAAACCGGACAGGACTCAAGGCCTGCAATGTGCAATGCAAAAAAAGACAACATCACCATGCGCTTTTATCAGTTAAAGCCATGTTTTTCTAATCTCAGCAGTTAGCAGTTATCATTGCATTGAGATACCAATGTCTTGAAGTCACCATGAAATCAAAATGGAATATTTGCAGTCAATTTTTTTTAATTAATGTGCCCTCATAATCTTTAATCAAAATAACTTCCCCTCCCTCTTGCAGTGATATTCCAGGGTTCCAGACTGCGACCAAATTTTTTGAGAATGTGCGAGGTAAAATGTTATGTGGTCGCATTTGTGCGAGTGGACGCTTGAGCAACAGAACGCCGTTGTATCAGCTGCTGCAGTCCGTAACTTATGTTCAAAATGAACGAGTAGGCTACATCATGAATCCATTTTCCAAATTCGTGTTTTTGACTTATTCTGAATCACTATGGTACGCCTATAATAAGTGTTTATATTCGGACTATTTTATCCCGGGGTCGTCTCGGCTGCGGAGTAGCCCAGTGCCTGCGTGACTCGCCATAGACATTAACGGAGAGAAGTAGCTCCGGCTACAGTGTTCTTCCGCAAGACACGTGCAGTTTATTTATTGACGAACGTAGACGTCACGCGCATTGCACACTGATGGTGAAACGCGCCAATTACGAATTCACGAATTAAAGCATATAAAAATGATAAAAATGGTCTCACGAAACACAGAGCCCCTTCCTCCTACGTCTTTTCAGCGGTTATATTTTCCTCTGTTGAGCGATTACTCTCATGATCGCTCAACAGAGGAAAAGGAAATTATAAAATGCAGAAGGTAAGGAGTGTGAGATTTCTGCTTTTTGTTACAACTATAAACTTTGATAACGAAAAATCTGTATCAGTTTATTATAATACTCTAATCTTTTAAAATGTAATGCATACATTTGAATGTTTAATGATTTTTAAAAGATAGAAAGATGATAATAGACTGATAGATAGATAGAATATGATTCAAATGTAAATAGATAGATTGTATATAATTCAAATGTAAAATGCTTAAAATTACAGATTAAAATTACTGTCCAAAATCCATGAAAATCCTGAAATTTGGCAATGATAATTAATATATTACAGGTATTTCTGCTGCAACCCAGAAAGCCTTTGCTAGCCTTGGTCCATTAAAACCACTATTCATCAGCATGCATTGATTAATCCCATGGCATGTAGTAAAAAAACTAAAAAAAACAAAGGTGCGACCAAATCATATGCTGGTGCGACCAACTGAGAAAGTTGGTAGCACCAGTGCAACCAGTGGAAAAGTTAGTCTGGAGCCCTGTCTTTTCTCTGATAATGTGTTTAATGCAGCGAGGGCGGGACAATCTGTCACTCAAGAGATTGACCAATAGCAAACCACAACCATCCCAACATCCAATTCCCAATGGACAAAATTAAGTCTTGCCCTACATTTTTTCTTGTTTGAGAAGCCGCCACACTGATGCACGTTACTAGTGGTGGGAACTTTGGATCATTTTACTGACTCTTATCTTTAAATCTCGTTTATCAAAATGAACTAATCTTTTTTCAAGTCATTTTGTTCATTTCAGCAGAATGCAATTAAAATGGCCATTAATGTTAATGGCCAAATACCCCCAACACATCTGCTTACTTGTTGATCACATTTTGAATAAGAAAAAAAACTATAATACAACCAAGGCCAAATTATAAGAAACAGAAAATGATTCATTTCATTGCTTATCTGGGTTTTCAGGCTATGCAGTCTGTTAGTTTACCTCACTACCCGATCCGAGTCGTTCGTTCTTTTGTCACATCACATCCCCATAAGCTGAAGCTATGTAGTCGGTACCAGAAACAGAATTGATTAGTTCACCCTTTTGAGTCTTCGGGTTTGAGTCGTTCATTCTTTTGTCACGTTACTGTATGTTGTAATTATATGTAGGTATCTTTGCTTTATCAAAGTGATTTTACCCATCACACTAATAAAGTTTAAAGCATTTCCCAACTCTTTGCCACATTCAATGCTATGGAAAAGAACCATCATGACAGAAATACACACATTTATGAACTATAAATAAAAAAGCTACAATTTGAGAACAGAAATGCTGTTACAGTTACAGGAGAAAGACACGTAACTGTAAGAGTTAAAAAACTGACCACGCGCTTGTTTGTAAGGAAGTTTGGAAATTATTAACTAATTTCTGTATCCAATACAGCTGTCACGACTAATCATTTCTGTTTCCTGTACAAAACCTATAAGATGTTATGTATGCACGGTCAACACCAAATGAACGAATCACTCTCTGAGACAACTCATCGCTACACGTCACAATAGGGGGAAAAATGACTGTCACAACTTCCCTTTCATGCTGACTTAAATCCAGTTCAGATGAGGACTCTTTTAAAGGTGCCCTAGAATGTGTTTGAAATAATATTTTAATTTTGTCTTTGATATCTACAGAGGGTATGTGGCTTATTTAAGGGCATTTAAAATATCCAGATATGGTTTTACAGGTCCATTTTCAACTCTAGAAATTGGCCCTAGAATGAAATGGTCTGTTTTTACCTTATTTGAAAGGGTCATGAATAGTAATGAGGAGTTCTGCTCTGATTGGCTGTTTCACTGTGGGCTCAGTGAAACAAATGGACTAACGTTAGATGCCTTGTCAAATAAATATAGCTTCAACTTATGTGGTGGAGAATGTGACGTTAGCTAGAAGGATCGAGTGAGCTAACATTATCTGTGACTGTGAGCAACTAAACTAACGTAGTTAGCCCCTGATGTGTTGTTGATGAAATAGACGAAAGTAAAATTATTTGACAAAAGGGAATTTACATATATCTACAGTATTATTTTGTAGATTTATATGACAACACAGGCAAGAAATATTAACCTCAGCGTAAATACTTTGTCATACTAGCCTATTTAGTTATGTATGTTTGTTACTTGGAGTTTGCTATTTGTTACTGTACTAGGATCTTGCGCTGGATCTAGATAACACAGTGTAAATTATCGTGAATAAAATCACTAGTTTACCGCTTGCGGAAAAATAGTTGGAATTGCCCCCTTCTTCAGTATGAGACGCTGAGAGAACTAAGCCTGCTTGATATTGTCTCAGGTTATAAAATAAGTCTGTGGTGAAATGGGCAGAGCAAACTAACAACTTCGAATTAAACTGTTGCGGTATCCGATTATAGATAAACATCAACCACGCCTGTTGACATTTCTTTTCTGTGGGAAGGGAATGAAAAGTCCTCACATCCCCTGCACAGCCTGGAACATGACATTTGTTTTCATGATCTGCCATTTTCCCTATGATCCTCGATTGTCTCTTCACCTGCAGAACTTCCGATGATTCGGCTGCGCAGTTTCGCTTGGTATTGAACATGGGCTGGCATATGCACATTTTTGGAGGCGTACATATTAATGATCCCAACTGTTGCGTCACAGTCGGTGTTATGTGGAGATTCGCCTATTTTTCAGGGGTGTTTTTCAAAAACGAGATTTAAATAAGAAGGAGAAAACAATGGTGTTTGAGACTCACTGTATGTCATGCCATTTACTGAACTCTTGTTATTTAAAGCTGCAGTCCGTAGCTTTTTTGGGGTTAAAAATTATCCAAAATACATATTTGAGAAAATACATAACCAGCCAGTGTTCAAAACTCTCTGCGTGCCTTAGCTCGATTCAAAGCGGTAAGCTTGTAATGATGTTTTTAATTCCAGTGATACTGGTGGATTTCCACGGGAGATTCGAGCATGTCTTTGCGTCATTACGTCACATCTGTACACATAAAGAAGGAGTCTCGGCTAGTAGGCTATATTGAGTCATTACGTCACATCTGTACACATAAAGAAGAGTCTCGGCTAGTATAAGCTATATTGAGTCATTACGTCACATCTGTACACATAAAGAAGAGTCTCGGCTAGTATAAGCTATATTGAGTCATTACGTCACATCTGTACACATAAAGAAGAGTCTCGGCTAGTATAAGCTATATTGAGTCATTACGTCACATCTGTACACATAAAGAAGAGTCTCGGCTAGTATAAGCTATATTGAGTCATTACGTCACATCTGTACACATAAAGAAGAGTCTCGGCTAGTATAAGCTATATTGAGTCATTACGTCACATCTGTACACATAAAGAAGGAGTCTCGGCTAGTATAAGCTATATTGAGTCATTACGTCACATCTGTACACATAAAGAAGAGTCTCGGCTAGTATAAGCTATATTGAGTCATTACGTCACATCTGTACACATAAAGAAGGAGTCTCGGCTAGTATAAGCTATATTGCATGTGATGATGTTGGGTTTGAGATTTATAGCCTTTTCTCACAGCACTTGATATAATAAAACTTATCAATTTGATGGCGGATCCAGAAAGGTTCAAACGACAAAAAGACTTCGTTCGGACTTCGGAGTGGCTACAGAAAAAAAGAGACTGCAATTTACTCGCTCGATAAATCAGCGTGATTTACTGCAATGTCAGAACCAGAACAAAAGTGGATGTTTCTTACTAGTTCAGATGACATTTTCCGGTGAAAATTCTTATGTTGGGTCATACTTCCAAAAAGAATAATCTGTGATTCTGAGTGCCAGTATCCACACCGGCGCGGTGATTGACAGCCGCACACACTCTCCTCAAACACTGTGTTCATCCGCGCTGTGCCGTGTCGAGGGTGTTGAAGTACAACTCACGTAAAGTTGATAATTCCGCGAATGACTGCAATTGCAGATTTCGAACAGAGATGGCGACAGAGAGGAAAAACGCCGGACTGCAGCTTTAACTATGCCAAGATAAATTCAATTTCAAATTCTAGGGCACCTTTAAATAGAAATCTAGTTTACTATTTACTGAATAGTGCACAGTATACAGTCGATACTGCCTAGTGCCTACTATTAAAAAAATTGTATGCGAATCACAAGTCACTATGCAATGGTTTTCAAGTAGTGATACTCTACATATAGGCCTAGTCATTTTTGTACTTTAAAATTAATTTTGTTTCAAATTCAAAATGCACATGCTGTGTACATTATACAGATAGTAGTATGCTATTCCAAACATTTGTCTGCCAATTGCAATCTACAACCATTGAAAGCGTCTCAAAATACATAAAGAAACATAAAAAAAAGTGTAATGCACAGTCACTTCTCACCAGCCTTCTTTGTTGCTTTGGGATTTTTCTCGATCTAGATGGGCTGTAGTGGCTCCTGGACAAAGGAGGGTCTGGAGGAAATGGATTCTGTCTTGTGAAAACAGCTCCACTGCTTATAAAAGTGAGAACGTGTTTTAAATCAACCTGATGTAATCCAGTTTAATCTGATACTCTGACAGCATTTGACATCCAACCCACCTTGATCTCATAGTTTTCATGCAAACCAGTTCTGCTCAATAAAAACAAAAGACGCAAGTGGAGTTTCATCACGTAGGATCCATGAATATCTAAATAAAGACATAATTTAGTGAAACTGCATTATGATTCGAAAGACAGTGTTTATGTTGCACGAGCGTGGACTGTATCTTAACGTTAACCGTCGCGTGAGTACGTTAACGTTACTAAGGGATAATTAAACGGTCATTTAGCACAGTATTTATTAAGATATACGATATTTTAAAACTTAAAAACATCACATATCCGAATATAAACACAGTATTATTCCAAATTTGTTGTATAGACTGATATTTATCAAGAAAGTATCCGCTTACTTTTCGAATTGTGTGACCGTGTTGTATCCTGGGAAATGCAGTCCGAATACTGTTGTTTACATTGTTGTCGAAAATAGCTGACCAACCAATCACGTTTAGTATTTTGTGATCGACAGCCATTTGAACCAATAAGAGCGATGCACTCTCGTCCGCTGCAGCCAATGACGAGCCGGGAATCTCATTGCGCGCGGAAGAGGAAAGTCGGATTGTGACAGAGGCGTCTCGTCGTCAGTCTCTCTGCTAAGGTTTGAAAGGTGAGTAACGTGTTGTTTTGTGTTTATAAAGTATTTCTACCTTCCCAAGTTATATTATTTACTGTATTACGTTTTTGTTAAGTCATTTGTGAAGTCGGTGAAGAGTTTAAATGCCGTTAATCAGGGATTTAAGTGGTTTTCTAGCTAGCTAACGACAGCTGTTTATATCATTGTAATTTAGCAGATTAGCAAAATAGTACTGCTTTTTAAATTGGTTTTCATGACCCCTGTGTTTTCCGTTTTCAAACCTTTCTATTGATTTACCGAAAAATTGTAACTATATATATATATATATATATATATATATATATATATATATATATACACACAAACATATATATATATATATATATATATATATATATACACACATACATACACGCATACATACAAATATAATTGTTTAAAATAGTTGTAATAATAATTGAAATAATTGAAGATGGAAAAAAGAAGGGTCTGAAATTAACTAGGGCTTGGGGCATCAAAATGCCAAAAGTGCCAAAAATGTCCCAATGTTTGGAACATTTTATATATACATAATATATATATATATATATATATATATATATATAGGCTATATGTAACGTTAGATGCTTCACATTTGTAATAAGCCCTCAAGATAGCACATCAAATTGCAGCACATCCACTTAATTTTATATTAATTTCATTGTAATTTATTTGAACCCATTTCAATTATATTAGTCATAAGTAAGTACCAAATCACTAAATCATCATCTGAATGATATTGCAGGTAAAGAATCCCTGTTGTGTGAGGATCACTCTGTCACAATGCTTCACTGTAAAATCAAGACTGAAAAAACAGGTGAGGTTACAAACAAGAGTTTCTTGTTACATTTCTGTTTTAGTAAATGGTGTGTCCCTGAAAAAAAAGATTTCATTTATGTGGTAAAATGGTTCTTTTGCAGATCCTGGGGCTCGAAACCGCCTTGATGCAGTATTGCAAGGTCTGGTTGAAAGGAGTGACAGTGAGAGGTTAGTGCATTAATGTGCCTTGGGCATTGAAAGCTTCAGGATGTAACAACGAAGCTGCAAATGGACCTCAGGCAATTAAAGCTCATTAGTGATGAGTCCACTTTTGAAAACTATCAGTTATCCAGAATGTCTAGCAACATATACTTAATAGCATAATCACACAAGTACTCCCACAGAAATATGTTGTGTCCTTTTGTTGTTTTTTTGACATTAGTGATTGCATTGTGTTTGAGCAATGGCACAGCTGTGCAGTTTGTTCTGACTGTGCTGACACTGCACTTCCTTTACCAGCACCTGTGTCTTAACCACTAACCAGGTGCAACGTTATAATAGTGTACTGTATATACAGTAATTTGTCTAAGTGCTGCAAGATGTAAAATACAGCCAACATGATCGATGTATGATCTACAGTATCAGTGACTATCGTAAGTGCCTAGACTTTTATATTCAGTGTTTATGCATCATTCATCTCAGTGTTTTACTCAAACATATTGTTGCAAAATATGAACTATATTATTGTACAGTTCTATATATACATTTGTATATAAGTATTTACAACCTTACCTGCAAACATACAGTATACTCACATAAAGCGATACACCTATGAGCCAAAAGTACCCAGTCTGACCCAGTCGCCCTGCCATAACAATTTTGCCCATGTCAAAGTCACTCAAATCTTTATTCGTGCCCATTTCTCCTGCATCCAACGTTAATTGTTTGCTTATCATCTAATCTACCCAGGCCTTAATATGGCCTTGTTAGGAGATGATCAATGATATTTGCTTCACTTGGGACTGGTCATAATGTTTTAACTCATCCGTGTATGCTATAGAGTAAATCTCAGCTTCTTGATTGTTTATATCGTCGTAAAATGTAAACGCCCAGCTCTAATATGCTAAATGTGACTGGAAGTGATTTAGCGAGTCTGGATTCTCTGAACATAATTACCATTTGTGGTCCTTCAAAGGTTATGTTTTTCCACTGTTACTGAGCTCAAAAAAGTACCTGGTATACTATTGATTAATTTCTTTGTTACAGTCCATTTGTATTTCAGATGTTTGAATAGTTACCATCCTGATGGTCTGAGATCATTTACTGCTATAATTATGTTCTGGAAATACTCTCTTAGCATGTTTTTGTTTTTTAAGAAAAATCACATTAGTGGTCATCAGCACTAATGCTTTAATTTGGTCCCTGAGAACCTTGCAAAGTATTCAGATAAATTATTCAGGAAGAGAAAATTGTGTCTGAGTAAATATTGGCAATAAATGGCTTTCAGAAATTAAGGAGCAGTTGTTTTAGGGAAATTGGCATCATAATCTGCTGTGCTTTTTTCTTCCTTTTCCTGCATAGAGAGCAGAATGAAGAGGATTCTGGGAAAATGGTGGCAGACTCTTTGAGCAAGTATGCACATACAGAATGTTTATGTTACTGCTATAAACAATGTCTTCTCCCAGCTAGAAATATGTAAATGGTTAAGATTAATTTAACAGTCATGTAATGCACACTTTTTTTTTTTTTTTTTGCAGGGATTTGTCACCTTCTTCTGCAGGGAAAAGGCAAGTACCATCTTCTGGCTATTATTTTATGGTTAAAAAATGTTTCTCAATGTATCTGAATATTTATGAATTTGCTCTCTTTTTAATCAGAGTTCATGAGCACATGAGCACGTTCGAGCTTCCGCAAGAACCAATGAGGTTCATTCTCATGTGTTACGCAGCACGTTTGAGCTTCAGCAAGAACCAATGAGATTCATTCTCATGTGTTACGCAGCACGTTTGAGCTTCAGCAAGAACCAATGAGATTCATTCTCATGTTACGCAGCACGTTTGAGCTTCAGCAAGAACCAATGAGATTCATTCTCATGTTACGCAGCACGTTTGAGCTTCAGCAAGAACCAATGAGATTCATTCTCATGTTACGCAGCACGTTTGAGCTTCAGCAAGAACCAATGAGATTCATTCTCATGTTACGCAGCACGTTTGAGCTTCAGCAAGAACCAATGAGATTCATTCTCGTGTTACACAGCACGTTTGAGCTTCCGCAAGAACCAATGAGGTTCATTCTCATGTGTTATGCAGCACGTTTGAGCTTCAGCAAGAACCAATGAGATTCATTCTCATGTGTTATGCAGCACGTTTGAGCTTCCGCAAGAACCAATGAGGTTCATTCTCATGTTACACAGCACGTTTGAGCTTCAGCAAGAACCAATGAGATTCATTCTCATGTTACACAGCACGTTTGAGCTTCCGCAAGAACCAATGAGGTTCATTCTTATGTGTTACCCAGCACGTTTGAGCTTCAGCAAGAACCAATGAGGTTCATTCTCAGGTTATGCAGCACGTTTGAGCTTCCGCAAGAACCAATGAGGTTCATTCTCGTGTGTTACGCAGCACGTTTGAGCTTCAACAAGAACCAATGAGGTTCATTCTCATGTGTTACGCAGCACGTTTGAGCTTCAGCAAGAACCAATGAGATTCATTCTCATGTTACACAGCACGTTTGAGCTTCAGCAAGAACCAATGAGGTTCATTCTCATGTGTTATGCAGCACGTTTGAGCTTCAGCAAGAACCAATGAGGTTCATTCTCATGTTACGCAGCACGTTTGAGCTTCAGCAAGAACCAATGAGGTTCATTCTCAGGTTATGCAGCACGTTTGAGCTTCCGCAAGAACCAATGAGGTTCATTCTCAGGTTATGCAGCACGTTTGAGCTTCCGCAAGAACCAATGAGGTTCATTCTCGTGTTACGCAGCACGTTTGAGCTTCAACAAGAACCAATGAGGTTCATTCTCATGTTACGCAGCACGTTTGAGCTTCAGCAAGAACCAATGAGGTTCATTCTCAGGTTATGCAGCACGTTTGAGCTTCAGCAAGAACCAATGAGGTTCATTCTCAGGTTATGCAGCACGTTTGAGCTTCCGCAAGAACCAATGAGGTTCATTCTCATGTGTTACGCAGCACGTTTGAGCTTCAACAAGAACCAATGAGGTTCATTCTCATGTGTTACGCAGCACGTTTGAGCTTCAACAAGAACCAATGAGGTTCATTCTCATGTTACGCAGCACGTTTGAGCTTCAGCAAGAACCAATGAGGTTCATTCTCAGGTTATGCAGCACGTTTGAGCTTCAGCAAGAACCAATGAGGTTCATTCTCATGTGTTACGCAGCACGTTTGAGCTTCCGCAAGAACCAATGAGGTTCATTCTCAGGTTATGCAGCACGTTTGAGCTTCCGCAAGAACCAATGAGATTCATTCTCATGTGTTACGCAGCACGTTTGAGCTTCAGCAAGAACCAATGAGGTTCATTCTCAGGTTACGCAGCACGTTTGAGCTTCAGCAAGAACCAATGAGATTCATTCTCATGTTACACAGCACGTTTGAGCTTCAACAAGAACCAATGAGGTTCATTCTCAGGTTATGCAGCACATTTGAGCTTTAGCAAGAACCAATGAGGTTCATTCTCAGGTTATGCAGCACGTTTGAGCTTCAGCAAGAACCAATGAGGTTCATTCTCAGGTTATGCAGCACGTTTGAGCTTCCGCAAGAACCAATGAGGTTCATTCTCGTGTTATGCAGCACGTTTGAGCTTCCGCAAGAACCAATGAGGTTCATTCTCGTGTGTTACGCAGCACGTTTGAGCTTCAGCAAGAACCAATGAGATTCATTCTCATGTGTTACGCAGCACGTTTGAGCTTCAGCAAGAACCAATGAGGTTCATTCTCGTGTGTTACGCA